CCAATTCAAACCAGTTTGATCATTTTCACTGCCTGGAACATCAGCTTATTAGTTTTAGTGGAACCAAGTCCTGACTTATATACTTCTTGAATAGGTGCATTAGTGACAGTACCTACTTGACCGAATGATGCCATCCCTGTTCGCGGCCGCTTGGAACCCTGCAAAGAATGTTTTGTTACTAATTGGTTATATAAAATAAAGAATAAATGATATTGATTTATTGTAACAAGTGAGTTAGTGCTAAAACCAACAATTCAGTTTCCTCATCAGTACCATGCAATCTCCACCCTTGCCAAAGATAAAAATCATACCATTTTTGGGCGATCATCATTACAAGTTAGACCAGACTGTCTACAAGTCAAAGAATCTGCATCCGCGTCAAGGTCACCAGTTCTTGAAGTTACCCTCCAACCACTCCCGCTAGAAGCGCTACTTGTTGAGCTAATGCTGCTATCACGGCTACTACCGCTGCTATTATAACCATTTTTTTCATAATACCCATCACTCTTATTTCCGGACGCTCCAATGAAGTCAAAATCACCAGCCCTGCATAAAATAAAGTAGAAATGTTCAGATACCATGAACAGATTGATATAATGAAACAAAAAAAAATCGCTAAGCATAATATTCAAACAAACTCAGAAATTCCACAGATCTCACTCCTATGAATCATGAGGATCACACAACCTTCGGCTACTCAGAAAAGTTAGAGATTGGATATTTTTTATTTCCTTTCAATGTTCAAAATGTAGACGAGATAGAAGAAAAGGACTCACCAGTGCATAAATAACGATGAACCTGCCAGTGATGGTCCTATCCAATTTTGAAGCCAAAATCTGCAAGTATGATTTCACCTCGAATCAGCTCCATGCTGGGGAAAGATCACAAATATAACATCTTTTTCAAGTTGATACTCTGTAACATTGGTCTGAAACAATTCCTAAAATCCTTCTCACTACGATCCTAAAAGTCTATTTTTCTGAATACATACATGCACACCCTGACAAAACTGTAGACAAATTCAACGGAAGAAATAAACTGTCCATAATTAGCCAACATTAATAGCTAAGTTGGATCCTACCGTTAAGTACTCAACAGATTCAAAAGAACCTACTCACCTTGAAGGCTTACCTTTTCAAAGAAAATTTAGCAAATGCTGACTGTAAGGTTGGCACAAGCACTGCCTCAGCTGGATATATGAACTTTTTTTCACACGCTGATAAAAGATCTGGTTGACCTTTCCGGTGGTCTTTACTACCAACTGAAGGCTCAGTACACTGATTATGGGGCAAGTTAACTCCAAAGGTCGAATTAGTTTGACTTGTGTTGTCATTTGTATTCTGGCAGCAACCAAGTGTAACTTCCACGTAGCTTTGACTGCCATTTATCAGACGGTTGCCACGACCAACATGAGAAGGGAGACCTATATATCCACTCGAAGTCTTTAAGTTTCCAGAACTGTGTGAGAAAGAATCAACTATTAGTTGAGAAAATTGGTTTCATCAGATTAACAGCCATTCATGTCACAGACATGTCGACTTGGACAGTGGAAAGCAAGTAAATGAAATGCACCTGAAATACACTTGCTTGACAAGGTCATTGGGACAGAATCCAGTGAGGCTGCCTCGCATTCCATGAGGAGAAACAATCACTGGTAGAAAAAACATAAGCCTGTGAGAAGTAATTCTATCAAATAAAAAAGCTTCTATCTTTCTTGAAGCATGTGTAAAAGGCACAACAATCATTTCGGGTCTCAATTCAAAAAGTTTGGCTTTTAAGAGTTGCATGTAGCATAAACTATTGTCTCCACTCGTGCCCAACCCCAGAAAGAAAAAACAATACAGAAAAGCTCTTGTGACATGAAAAAAAAAATCAGATGTTATACCTCAGCTCAAGAAAGTTAAGTAGCCCTAGAATAGAAAAAATTCTTTCTGGAGTTCACTGCATTGAACAATGTGAGTTCAAAAAGTCACACGCTATCAATTTATTCACTAGTATGCAGGACAAGGTCAACAAAAATCTGGAACTAGTTCCATCAACTTCTTTTGATTTATCGTAGACAAGTAGTAGAATTTAGCATTCCAAGTGATGACAGAAAAATGACTAACCTGGAAGCCTATAGCCGGAGTTTTTCAAAGAACTCCTTAACAGTCTTTCAGCATCGCCACTTGAGAGCGTTCGGACATTCCTTCGCGAATTAAAATCAGTGTTAGTTTCACAACAACTATAAGAAGCACTAAACCACAATTTAGAACATATATAACAAAAAGCTTTACGTACTTGGCAGATATAATGACATGGACAAAAACTGCCTCTTCGGTAGCAGCAAAGATAAATTCAACAGTAGGCTGTCCCCTCCTGCATAATTATCTTAGGAGCATTAGCGACGAGATGAGCCACACCCTAATCATAACATTCTTTTGATTATAAGAACTACACTCAAAAACCAAGGTCTTAATGAAACGTAAGAGGTTGCAGGTACCTCAAATATTCTTCGCTTTGAGGGCTGAATTTCGAAAATACGTCTCCAAATCTCATGTAGGAAAGTCCAGTTAATGCTCTGTCAACAGCAATATCAAACAAATTAATATGAGATATCTCAATCCATTATGTCTGGCAATCATACGAAACTAACCTTTCAATGCAATTACGTAAAGACTGTGAAAAGGCAACTGATATCTCTTCAGAGTCCCCAGGTGCTACCCAAATCCCCGACGCAACAACTTTCAACAGAAGAAACATAAAAATAAGGACATTTGTACCAACCAAGGCGAAAACCGATCAAAATGCATCATTAGGGAAATAGTACATACCTCTAAGTTTTGACACTGCAGCCTGAGCTTTATCATTGATTGATGAATGACGACCAGGAAGAAAAAGCCAAAGCTTGATCTTTTCATCTAAAGCAAACAACGAGGAACACGAATCATAAGGATACAACTAAAAAAAATACTTAACCAGATTTGATGAGTACACAAAGTGTGGTTTTAGCTTTTACCAGGATTGTATAAACCTTGAGATGGATCCCAAGGTCCAACAAAAGAATTAGTCCATGTACTCAAAAACCCTTCCTTTTGTAACCGTAAATGAGAAGAAAGCACAAGATACGTCGCTACATCATTCTGCTCAGCTCTTGAACTAAAACAAAATCTCCATAGTTACAGTAAACACAATTAGCACACACACACACAGTCACAATTGACTAAACTAAAAAAAAAAAACACAAAATTGAACAAAAACTAACCTTCTATCAGAGCTAGGATTAAGCTCAGTTTCACTTGGAAGAAACTGAAACCAAGAAACATTATGTAGACCTCCCTGTAGAACAGAAATCACAACTCAAAATTCTCAAAAATCAAAATTTTATATCACAAAATAGAGACTTTAGTAGTAAAAGACTTACAATTCTGAAAACATTAGTCCACATAGCTTTTGTGAGGAATCAATCAAACAAAAGTTTAATCTTTTCTCAATGACCCAGAAACCATCGTAAGACCCTAAGAAGCTCGGAATCGAGAGAGACCAGAGATTTGGGAATTGATGTTGAAAGTGTGAAACTTTTTGATCAGAAATCGAAAGAAGTGGTCTTTGTCTTTCTTTGTTCGAAAGATCTCTCATAAGTGTAATAATCAATCTCTGAGGTAAGATTA